AAATGAGAGAACCAAGAGAACAAAGAGACCTCTTCCTCTGAAACACCAGCGAATGCGATTAGATATTGCATGTTGCTAATAAAAATAAAATCTTATTATATAAAGTATGGTTTTCAAAGTTAATAACTCACGAGATCTTGACATCTGTCAAATATCGATCTCAGATTTTGCCATGTGTAAAATAAATTTTTCTTTTTGATAAAAAAGGTAAAAAGATAATAATAAGAAAATTATAAATGTGAAACGGTTTGGAAATGTAAAAATTTAATTATAAGTAAATTGTACCTAACTACCTATATTTCCATAAGAGATTTTGCCATCTACCAACCAAAATTTTTGTTTTTAACAACTTAAAATTGTTAAAAGATAATTATGACAAAATTATAAATTTAAATAGTTAGATCGTAGTAAGAAAACTATATGTATATATATAAAAATTATATGTGTATTTTCCATAAAAATCAAAATTATAAAATTATGCTAAACATTTTATTTGTAAGTTACTAATTGTACAAGAATAAAAAAATAGAAAAAATAGAAAAAGGATTAAGGAAATTATAAAATCAATTATTATTCCTATAAGAAAAAGGATTGTAAATCATCACCTTTATATAAATAGAAAGTTATCTCATATTTTTTCACTAAGCAAACTAATTTCTTCACACACCACCGTTGTTTTAACTTCATTTTATTGGTAAACTTTATTTTGGTTAAAAAGTATTTTTAGGATAATATAATTAACTTACATTTGACCCAAAAATAATTAAAGAAAACATGAAATAAATACTAATAACACGAGTTAAAAAAATTTAGAAAACTAATGTTTTTTAGATATGTGAAAATTCAAAATGGCTCTCAAACAAAAGACAAACATACAACTTTGTATTCTAATTTGGAGAAAAAAAACATGAAATAAATACTAATAAGACGAAAAAACTAAATTAAAAAAAAAATTATTAGAATTCTGACGACAAAATAGAGACATCCAACAATGTCATTAAATAAATAACATGTCATATTGAAAAAAAATAATAGGAGTAGCATGTGATTTTTATGGAGGTGATGATGGTGGTGGTTGATGGTTACAGAGGTGGTGATTAGGTGATTTTAAAAAATAACATGATCATGTAAAAATTACATGTATTTATCATTTGTTGTAAAAATATCATATCTATTATAAAAACAAACACTGTGAATCACGATGGTTTTCTAAAAACACCATGTGATATTCAGACCCAAAGAATATAGGGCAATTGAGGCCAATTAAGAATTATGAACGGCAATGGACATAGATTAGAGTTGTTGTCGGAGAGGCTTGGCCTGATGTTGGAGAAGATAAAGAAAGTGGAGTAATAAGAGAAATTGGGAAGAGAGGAGAAGAAGCGATAACAGTGGTGTTGGTGTTTATGACGATGGTTCAAGCTAGGTTGTGGCGGCGACGATAAATATTGATGAAGGTGGTGGATTGAAATTAGCGAGATTCAGTATTGATACTGGTGGTGATTGTGATAGTAGTGAAATTCATTTGTGGTGGTGGGTTAGAGTAGTGACACTCGGTGGTGATGTCCGACGAAGAGAAGAAATGGAGATAGGGAAAAAAAGAGGGAGGGAATGAGAAAAAAAAAAGAGTTCAAGCAAAAATAAGAGAAAGCTAATGAGAAAAATATAGAGATTTGAGAATTTCTCGCCGGCGAACGGAAAAAAATAAAGAGAAAACGAAGAAATAGGTAATATATATATATGAGCCAAAACTTGACAATGCCACATAACTATAAAATTTTTTTTTTTTTATTATTGTCATATTTTATTCCATCTTGCCCACATTGAAATTATAAGATGTAATACACTCTTCCGATGGATGGATGTAAATAACTTATTAAAAGTCAATAATACAACCTATGAACATTTATTACTTCATAACTTATAATAAGCAAAAAATTATATAATTTTTTATATAGGCCAATATTTTATTAGATGATTTAACAATTAGCATAACATAAGTACAAATAGTGTTTTATACTGCGCAATATGCATTATAAATCTTATAAAAATAATCAAAATGATGCATTATTTAAAATATATATGTTTATATAATTTTGGTTATGCTTACAAAATTAAAATTAAAAGTTAAAAATGATAATTTTGACCGGCAATCCGTGCAACGTACGGGTCCATACCTAGTATAATATATAATATACTAGATAAGGATCCGTCCGATGGACGGGTTTATTTGTTTAAAAATTAAAATCAAATTTTAGAAAAAAAATTAATTAACAACATTGTAAGTAGAAATTTTCTTTCAAAAATAAAAACAATATTTACTTTTTCATTGTTGACTTTTTTCTTTAACCACTAAAACTATTAATTCAAAATTATTTCGAATAAAAGATATATCACATAACAATAATTCATGATATTATTATATGAAGAACAAAAATTAAAAATATTCATCATAAAGTTGGTGAATAAAACCAAAGTGGTATTTAATTAGACACGTTAAAAATATAAAGATGATAAATCGACTAAATTCTTTTACCTTCCAAGCTAACGTTGCGGTTCGATTCATATATACTCGATTGCAATAACTATATGATCAATCAATAAAAATAATAAATTCAAAAAGTTATAAGCACGATGATATATGAATCTTTTATAATTCAAATATGAACATAGAAATTGAAATAAACTATTTTGAAATAGTATAATTAAATTCAAAATATCAAAAACAAAAAAGAGGCATATATGTTTCTTACATATTCAAGAATTTCAAATAAAACAATATAGCACTTTACTTAAAAATCATCACATATTTCTAATTAGAAAATAATATTGATATAAATAATGTAACTTTGTAATTTAAATCATGACACATGTCGCTATTTAAAATCATTAGAAGTATGATATATTATAAATCATATATAACTTAAACTGAACGTAGAAACCAAAATAAATAATTTAAAGATACAACAGTTAAACTAAAAATAAAAAAATTATAAACACGATGATGTATGAATCTTTGATAATTTAAATATGAAAAGAAAAATTGAAATAAACAATCTAACTATACTACAATCATAATTCAAGACAAACAAAAAACACAGTTAAGTAAAAATATTACAAAAAGGAACAAAAATTTTTATCTCACATATTTCTAATTGAAAAAATAAACTCAAATAAATAATATGAGGATTATTTTAATTAAATCATCACATATTTCTAATTTGAAAAGAAATTGAGATAAATAATATCAAATTTTAAATTAATATATAATAACATATGTTTCTTTTTTAATAAGTTTGCCTGATTTTTTTCTTGTTTAATTTAAATATAAAAAACGTATAATTTCCTTATTATTATCTTTTGACAGTTTTTTAAAAAATTTTATAGAAATATGAATTATTTACAATTATTCTTATAATTATCTTTTATATTTTTAAAATTATTTAAATTTATAATTACTTAATTATTATTTTTATTTTTTTTTAAAAAAGAAATTTTTGTTATACACGTGTCAAAATCTAAGATCGATAGATTTGTTACGTGTCACGATCATATGAGTTATTAACTTTGAAAACCATACTTTATCGAATAAGATATATATGTATATATATTTGTTAAGAATGTAAATATTTCATTGTTTTAGGATTAGGAGGAGCAATTATTTCGTTCGTTCAATGCAATGGAGGAGCTAGTAAGACAAATGTGCGATTTGGTGTGGTTTTGTCTTGTTTTATGTGGCTCTGCGCTAACTGACATCGGGAAAAGATTTTGGTAGAGTGAGCTCGCACCTAGTTGGTTCAAACTTTAGGGGTTTTAGTTAAAATTTGTGGTTTCACTTAAAAAGATTACAAAATTAGGTGTTGGTTTTAAGGGCTTCTGTACTAATTTTCTTTTAATGGGTTTACTTTGTTTTTGTTTGTCTTTTGTACTTTAGTTCAAAAACACTGGAGGCATAATTGCTAATAACTTTGGGTGTATTATCAAAATTGTTCACATTTCACATGGCATTAATTGTGAAAAACTAATGTGGTTGCATCTGCCTCTCTTCTTTACAAAGTGCATCCACCTCCGGAAGTCACACTCACATCATATAAGACCGCTCTAATGCTTGTAAATATTTTTAAGAATGAAACAGATTATGGGCCTACTACTATATTATTATATATATATATGTGATGTTACATAGCCACACACAAGATATCTTTGTTTATCTTCATAACGAACCATGATATTGATTAGGCCCTGTCGCCCTGAAAGCTAGTCCAGTTATGGAGATTAACTTATTGTCATACATGAACCTTTTATAAACACATGCGGAAGACAAAATAGAACGAACCCTATAGAAAACAGCCTTTTTCAACTTCAACTATTTGCTGGCGGATTTTTCCAACCCAAACTATGACCTCTAGATTTTAACCCAAACCCAAAAATAATTCAAAATTGAAACATAAACTAATGCAAATGAGCCGATTTCAACACGACGCGAAACAGTGTTAATTCGAAAGTTAAAAGTTGCTCAACCTTGGGTAATTCTCTCCCTACAGCATTCAGCAAACTCTGAAAATAAAATCAAATAACTTTGAGAACCGTTAACTTCCGAACTAACATTGTTTCGCGTCGTGTTGAAATCGGCTCATTTGCATTAGTTTAGGTTTCGTTTTGAATTATTTTTGGATTTAAGTTGAAATCGACTGAGGGTCATAGTTTGGATTGGAAAAATCTGCCAACTATTGGTTGGAAAAAGTTATTTTCCCTATATAACCAGCAAGAACTCTAAATCTGGAAAGATAACTAATTTTATGTGCTTATGGTGGATATTGGTTTTTGACAAAAAAAAAAAAAAAAAAAAAGGGTGGATATTGGTTTATGAATTCAATTTGCTGCCACGTGATGATGGAATTTAGTGTAATAGTTTGTATTAATTAGTGTGTCACCACCGATTAAAATATGTATATTACATACTTTTTTTTTTGTCATTTATGTTTATTAGAGAAATTCTTTGTAACGCTCTGTTTTCTGTTTTATTTACGTACATGTTGTTGATAAAGAAAATCATCAAGTACACGTGATTTTAATATAAATTTTAATAGCAGCACAATACAAAATCAATCTAGATTCACATAAAATTGTTATTCCGTTTACATTTTTGTCACAAATTTGGTCACAGGTTAAAACTTACTGTGAAATTTTTCATTTTTAAATTTTTTTTTTATTACAATTAATTTATAAAGGAACTGCTCTGTTCTCTCTCCAAATTGACGACTTTTCACGAAAACTAACTTCTCCGGTCTCGCTGCGTTTCCCGGCCGGCGCTGGCTTCTCTGGCGTCGGTCGGATCCTTTTCCTTGCTTTAACTTTCTTCTATAGATAACTAATAACATCGGCATATGATTCCCAAATCAATATGTTCGGTGATAGAATTTCAATGTCTCATCGCTTTTCTCTCTTTTCATGAGAGTTTCTTTCCGACCACAATCCGGCAATGGTCTCGGAACAGTGGCGGCGACTTTCCGCTGGAGTTTTGTCTAGGCGGCCTCCGTTGTCTCAATATTGAACACATTCCTCTTCAACATCGTCAAGCCCATGACCTTGACGTTAATTTCTTCAAATTGAGAAAGGGCTTTCAAACCCAGATTTGGGATCCAGGAGTTCCTATTTGCAGATTTGCAAACGGTGGAATACGACTCTTAATTGATCACATCAGCGGAAGCCGTTTTATGTTTGTTTTGGCGATGGAGACCTCGATTCTTTATTTCACGAAGATGTCGATAATTTTCCCTATTGGTGGTCACTTCTTTTCTCCTTTTGTTTCCTTTGGCTTGAGGGAGACATTGTTGGGCTTCGAAATTAGGATTAGTCTCGGACTCGATGATGAACCGGTGGCACTTCCACAATCGTTAGAGGAAGAGATGAATTCAGTGATTCAAAGAGGTCTGTGGTTTTTGGCCTATTGGATGATAACAATCCATCGATGGCCTCCCAATTTCCAAGATGAAGCATCAAAATCAATTCCACTCCGGATCCAGGAATGGAGAATTCCTGCAGAGTATCTTTCGGACTTTAATCTCGTCGACCCCCTCTCCTCCAAACATTCTCTATTTAGCCCCCCTTATAAAAAACATATGTTTATTTGTTTTGTTTAATTCAGAAAAATAGTAAATGACCAAAAATATATTGACTTTTTCACATAATTACGGACCCAACTTAACTTTGGATCTATATCCATATTTGTTGGATCGGGTTTCGGATCTTTTAATTCCCCATTCTAAGGATCGAATCTCTAACCCTAATTGGCAAAAAAAAAAAAAAACTCTAACCCAATTTTTTTTCTCATTTCTCACATTTTTCCTTTTTCTCTCAAAGAAGAAGAACGACGACTCCAAACCAACAAAATACACAAATTTTGGCTCCAGCGAAAGAAAACCCCCTTTTCGATTTCATTGATAAAACGTAAATCGATTTCTTGTTGGAAGAAGAAGAAGACGACGATGGGAACAATGAGAAAAGCATTGTACAACGTAGGATTCTGGATCCGGGAAACTGGTCAAGCACTTGATCGGCTTGGTTGTCGCCTCCAAGGCAAAAAACACTTCCGAGAACATCGTATGTCTTTTGGGTTTTGTTTGTGAAACAGATGAATTTTCGGATTAGAATTTGTTGTAATTTTCGGATTGAATTTGTTCCAATTTGTAGTTATTTATGTAGAATTTGAGACTGTTTTTGAATGTTTGATATTGAATTTGTATTTGTTATTGCAGGTACTAATTACAATGGTTATTACGAGAGGAGGAGGATCTAGTTGTAGAAGTGAACCATATGCCTCTCTTAGAAGTGTCAAAAGACAAAAGCAATTAGATCCAAAGCATTCAGAGATAGCAGCTGTAGTGAGGTCTGATTGTGAGACCATGGCTGCTGGTTTTAACATGGATTATGGTGATTATAGAGGTGATGGAGAGGCTGTTTTGTATCCAAGGTTGTTGGTGATAGTAGAGGTGATGGAGAGACTGTTTTTGTACCCAAGGCTGTTTGGTTTCTAAAGTTTTTTATAAATCTAAGTGTTTATGTACAATTGTTCGGATGTGTTTTGGTTTCTAAGGTTATGTATGAAGCTAATTGTTTAGGTACAACTGGTACGATCAGGTACAACTATGTTTCTGGGTTTATGTTTTTTGGTTCAAAACCTATCTAATTATGTATGTATCTTTGAATCTAAATCTTAATATTTTTATGTATGAATCTATGTATTGAATATAATCTAAGAGTTTTGAACCAAAAAAAAAAAATCTTAATTTTTCAAAAAATCTGACAAATATGTAGGTTGTAAGGGCTTTTATTAAAAAAACAGTTAAATATCTGAAAAATATCTGAAAGAATCTAAGGATATCTAAAAATATCTAAAAAAATCTGACAAATAGCTTACCTGGCGCCGTTATTTTTGAAAAAAATAATTAAAAATAGCACAAATTTGTTCATAGTTGTACAGTTGTACCCGGTTGCACATTTTTGCTCATAGTTGTACAATATAGAGAATTTAGTAAATCTAGTTGTTATCAACTCTAGTTTAATTTTTCTGCGTGGAACCGATGGTATTGCCTCATAAAAATACCATTATCTTGTATCTGTGTATTTATATTTATCAAAATACAAGTATTTCAAAAATTTATAAAATTTTAGTTCAAAACTACAAAGTAACCATGAAAGTATAAGGTTGTTAGTGTATGAATGTGGGATTTTATGTAAGAATTTCATTATTTTAGAAAATTTTGAAATTTTTTGTCAAAAACTTGTTGTGTAGTTTCATTACCATCGTGTATGCATTTTTTTAGGTTTTTCAATTTGGTTTTAATTGTTCATATTATAAAATTGGCCAAGACAATAGACCTTAGTTGTACTTGTTGTACTTAGTTGTACCAAGACTGAACAACTTAATTTGCAAAGCTACGACAAAGCAATCAACCATAGTTGTACCTGCTAAAACATAGTTGTACAACACAGAACATATAAGTTTCATAAACAAAACCAATACAAACAATATCGTTTCTTAAACTATCCTAATAAATAGCACTCATAAAACTTAGTTGTACAACACATAACATATAAGTTTCATAAACAAAACCAATACAAACAATATCGTTTTTTAAATTATCCTAATAAATAGCACTCATAAATCAACCTTGGTCACCCGCATCGTCTCCATCAACGTCACCATCATTGGCATATAATTTCACAACTTTCGTAGCAGACCATCAACATAGTTGTACACATTTGTCCCAGTTGCACCAAACTTAGGGTTTTCGTAAATATTCTACTTAGTTGTACCTAATAGTTTCAGTTGTCCCAAATCTGCAATCCTAAAATATTTTAACAAATAACCCTATTCAAGCTACGAATTCAACTTTTCTCAATCATACTACACTAAGAAAACAAGTATACTTACCTTACAATATGGTGGGAATAGAAAAAGAAGAAGAGAAGAGATATGTCTTTGGAGATGCATAATCGTAAGCTTTAATGGTAAGCTTCAATGGTGGATGAAGAAGAAGAAGAAGAAAAAGAAAAGACGAGATAAGAATTTGGAGATGCTTAATTGAATCGTAAGAAGAAGAAGAATTCACTTTTAGTTTGGAGATGCTTGAATCGTAAGAAGAAGAAGATACAAATCTTTTAATGGTGGATGGAGAAGAAGAACGTTGGAGCTGCTGAAGAAGAACGTCGGAGCTGTTGAAGAAGAAGATCGGAGCTGCTGAAGATGAAGAAGAGGAAGAAGAAAAAGAAGAAGAAGAAGAAAAAGAAGAAGAAGAGAAGAGACGTAGGACGGATTTATGTCGTTAAAGGTGGGTTGATTTGATTGGTTGATTTGTTAGGTTTAGATTTTAATGAGAGAAGAGAGAGAATGTTTTTGATTGGTTGAATAAAGAATTTGTTGGTATTAAATTAAATGTAGAATTAAATAGATAAAAGGAAGGATAAGGGGTAAAATTGGTTTATGAAAAAATTGGGAAGGAGAGGGGGTAGTGAGAATAAAGAGGGGTTTTTCAAAGAATGATTCTCCCCAAAAGGGCCAATGAGATTAAAATCCGTATCTTTCAAACCATATTATTCTTTTAATAGAGAAAGCAAATCAGGTTAGGGGAGACTATATTCTTGTCTCTGATTTTGACCAACATGTAGATGTTGTTGCCGAGAAGCTTCGTTACATAAAGGCAACGTTTGCAAAAGGTCAATTCATAAAATCCGACATTGTATTTGTTCCTTGGTATAGAGGATCACTAGACGTCAGGGACTTGTGTCCTATATGGGATAAACCTGCAAATATTGATTGGCTTCACTTGAAACAATCACTATGGCAAGAAGCGTGGGAGAGAAAACAACGGATATATCACGATGAACATAAAGAATCTTTGCGGGAACTATCAAGTACTTTGATTACAATGAGACGACAAGTTCCAGAAATATTTCCAACGACACTTATTTTCATTTCTTTAGATGATGTAATGCCAAGAACATTTTGGAGTTTCAACTATATGCTGATAGCCAATAAAAAGTGTGTGAAGGGGGGACATAACAGATTATATCTGTTAGCCTATAAGTCTAAAGATAGCATGGTTACTCTCCACTCCTTCATCGAAATTGTAATAATTTCATGTATTTGCGTAATTGGTCGTTTCGAAATATTAATGTATCTTGTAAACACTTTTTAATATCAATATACTTGATTTGCCGGAAAAAAAAAAAAAAAAATTTTTTATTTTTTTGTCAAGCTCAAAATTATTGTGAAAAGAAAAGCTCAAAATTTTATGTCTTCCATAAAAAGTAACTATCAACATATGTAATCTAACACAGATACATTTGTTAAAAAATTTACTTTTCTTTTGTTAAAATTTTAATGTATTGATCAACAAATTGGAAGACAAATAACAGTAGAAAATGGTCAGTTTCTTAAATACTAACTGTAGTAACTTTCTCCACACTCGTCACTTTTGTATTGGGAAAATTCCCAAAAAAAACCTCATGTATTTTTTATTTGGACGTTTAATACCCAATTGTTTTCGGTTGGAAGAAAAATACACATATTAATAAAACTGTGCGATTTAATACCCAAACAATCAAATGTTGTTATTTTCATACTTACGAACTCACAACAAAAAATATATTCCAATTTTACCCTTATCATCTCAATTAATTATTAACTTTTAAATAAGGTGATATTTTTTTTCTTTAAATAAAAATTAATTTTGTCAATGCTTTATTTTATGATGCCTAAAAAATAAATTTTAAATTTATATAATTATTTTATTTTAAAATTAAACATAAAAATTAGCAGAAAATCAAAAATATTAAAAATAGTCATTTGTACAATCTTATTCCGTCTTTGCAATGTCAAAGAGACGTTTTCTCTTCGGTTCTAATTTTTTCGATTAATATCTACGAGAATTACCGGTAAACAATCTCCGTCGTCCTCTTTTGCAACCATCAAATTCGATAACCATTCGCAATCTCCTTTTAATCCTATCCAAAATCTTCATCGCCAATAAAACTAATTTGATTTGATTCGTCGTGATGCATATGATATCAACGAGCATCAATATGAACTTTTTTTTCGTCGTGAGAAACTCTCTATTCGAATATAAATCCTTCACGAATGAAACTATTTTCGACAAAATCTCAATCCGAATCTCATCGTCTCTCTCAAGATTTATCAATTCATAAAAATGGCTAATTTTTTTTTTTTACTTTTTCTAAATTTTTTGCTAATTAATTTTATTTTTAATTTTTAAAATTAAATATTTGTAAAATAAACTGCAAATTATTTTGAAAATTTTTTTGAATTTTTTTTTGGGATAACAAAGAAATAAAATATTTATAAAATTAATTTTTATTTAAATAAAAAACTATTGTGACGTAATCTAAAAGTTAATAATTAATTGAAATAGTAAGGGTAAAATTGGAATTTTATTTTTTTTGTTAGATCGTCAGTATGAAAATAACAACATTTAATTGTTTGGGTATTAAATCGCACAATTTTATTAATATGTGTATTTTTCTTCCAACCGAAAACAATTAGGTATTAAACGTCCAAATAAAAAATAATTGAGGTTTTTTTTGGGAATTTTCCCCTTTTGTATTTTCAAAATATATACCATATATATAAATTGAATTCATGCTTTGATGTTTTGTTCTTTTCTTTTTGGCAGCTCACATGGTTTGATTCATTGATAAGTCAATTTCAAAATTTTCTCTCAAATTTAATTAATTCTCCATTTCTAAAAATACAGGGGGGCAAGGTATTTGGTATGCACATGAGATTAATAATACTACCCAAAAAGAAGGTAGTAACAAATAAAATAAAAGTAGAGAAATTGTTAAAAATGCCCCTTTTTCAATACCCCTTTTCAAAAATGCCCCTTTTGAGAGTCCATTTTTAAGTTTGCCCTCTTTTAATTTTTAATGACCATTTTACCCTTATTTGAAACAAAATTAGGTCTACAAAATACAAAATATTTTTTGGCGGGAAAAGTGATCCCGCAATTTTCCCGCCAAAACACTTGTAAAAACCTTTAAAATACCTTGTAAAATTTTCCCGTAAAAATTTTTCCCGCCAAAAAATTTTTTTGGCGGGAAAAAATTTTACGGGAAAATTTTACAAGGTAATTTAAAGGTTTTACAAATTTTTACAAGTGTTTTGGCGGGAAAAATTGGGGGATCACTTTTCTCGCCAAAAAATATTTTGTATTTTGTGGACCTAATTTTGTTATATTTCCTTATATATTTATGATATCTTTTATTAAAAGAAGGGTAATTTAGTCATTTTGTACATAAAAGGGGTATTTTTAAAAATGGACATCCAAAATGGGCATTTTTGAAAATGGGTATTGAAAAAGAGGCATTTTTGTGAGTCTCCCATTAAAGTAAGCGATGTAGTGGCATGGTGGTAAAATTCATTGGTTTCTCTTCGGAAATCTTTCACTTTTGTTTGGGTAATCACATTATAGTCATAAACAAAATTAGTGGAAATCTTTCACTTTTGTCTATTACATTCACCCGTAGAATTAGTTGGGGTTCAGTTCGGATTATCCATTGTTGTCAACTAAATAATAATTTTAAAAGTCTTCTTTTCACACTAGTTTTTTAGATAGTGGTAATTCAATTTTAAATATATGCATTTTATTATTAATATATAATATATATGAAAAAACTAATCTCCGATCCTAAAATATCATAATTATAGATTTTCTGTTTAAACATGTTAGGACGACCGACTATTTGGCTCATTCCTCTATAAGTAGATTAATCCCCTATATATTAACTGAGAAGCATTTTAAATAAAAAACATTACCTTCACGTGTGATTTACAAGACTGCCATGCTAACATGTCGCAACCAGAGAAACTCTGACCAAACTTAACAATTGTCCAATATTTACTAGACTAATTACATATAATGCCATTAGTGGTACTTATGCATATTTCTCCTCTATATTTAAGAGATTAGCAATTAATAAAGGAAATTAATTAATAAAAACTATATAAATTGACGAAACAAGTAAAAAGTATATAGCATAAATTATGATGAACAATATATAATATAAATGTTTATTATATGTTTTGTACTTATATTTTCTTATATGTTTTATAAAAAACATTTAGAATTTTAACATATATGACATTCTATTTTTTGTTATAAATTACAAAACATCTAAATGTATATGTGAGCCCATATGTTTCTTAAATATATTTGGAACATAGTTTTACATAAATTAGTTAGTAACATTTCATTTATTACACATTCACTATGAACAATATTTCAATATTAATCTATGTTAAAAATGTATCCGCTTACTCATTATTTTCAATATTATTTCTTTTCAAATTTTTACCTTATCAATTTATTAAAACTTTTACACGGTTTATTCAATTTAATTAGTCATTTACTCATTTTAGTTACAATTTATTTACAACCCAATACCTTATCGTAACAATATAAATTGATTCATAAAATGAGGGATATGCAATAAATCAATCCTAACTACATAGAATTATCAAGAATAATAAAGGATAATAAAATTTTATTACATTTAAAAAATAATTATTCATACTCTTTTCAGTTTTTATATTGAATTGTTTCCAAAATAAAATCTTAATTAAAATACAAAAAATATTCGAATATATTTCAGAATTATAGGAATGATATTTCAAAAAAAAACTTTGGTCAATATTTTAATTTAAAATCTTATTCCAAATATGGAATATCCTAATTCCTAACTAATAAAATATCCAAAATATATGAGTTACTAAATATATTCAAATATTCACACTTATATATCAAGTGATAATATATAATCGGTTTCCAAAAAATTGTTTATATATTTCATATAACTATTTCTCTCCGCACATAGTGCGGGTAAATCATCTAGTTGATGTTTATTTTGTAACCTCTTCACTTTTTAAGAGGGCAACTAACTAATCATAAATGCTAGTTTAATTTGACGTGTGATTTACTGATTTGATTAAAAAAATATTTTACAAGTAAAAATGTAACAATTTATGAAACCGTCGTACTCGTACGTCACTAATTAAGTTACAAAATACAACCAACATTTACTAATAATAAAATGTGGAGTGATATTAGATGAATGAATCACGTGGAATAAATCTAACAAAAATCATGAGGAGGTGGAGATGATTATTCTTTGTTGCGTTCCCTTCTGTGGTTACCAGCTTAGAGAAGCTGCGATAACGTTAACGCCCTCGTCCACTTAAATTAGAATGTGAGAAAAAAAAAAAAAAAATTTATTTGGAGATCATAACAGTATTGTGTGACATATTACAAAGGAGACAAAACCAGTCAAAAGTAAAAAGTCATCACAATAAAAAAAAAATGTCAATAAAAAGGGTCATTGTGTGACAAGAAAGAAAGAAAATTAAGCCACCACTTCTCCTCTGTCGAGAGCTTCAGTTCTAGAGCAACAATGTCTTTATTTCTGAAGCCCTTCCTCTTCCTCTACGACACCACTCTTAGTCTCCTCTTACTTCTGGTACTTCATAGCTCTCTCTATATATGAATACTTTATTAATTGCTGTGACATTCATAATTAATAGCTATTTTCTCATGCATGAATTAGTTTAATGGAGGGAGTCTTGAAGATGCTGCAGCAAAACAGGAGAGGCTTGAAGCAGACAAAAATGCTGCAGAGTCTGAATGGATCCAACTCCAATATTTGTGGACCAAAACGAGGAGTGTTGTATTACTTCCTGTTTTCAAGGGTTTGGTGGTTATGTGTTTGGTTCTATCCATTATAGTGTTCTTTGAGAGTTTTTACATGAACTTTGTGATACTCTTCGTCAAGTTATTTAGACGTAAACCCCATAAAGTGTACAAATGGGAGGCCATGCAAGAAGATGTTGAGGTTGGACCCGATAACTACCCAATGGTTCTTATCCAAATACCAATGTACAATGAAAAAGAGGTATACATACATACTATACCTTTCTTAATTACACTCTCTTTATTATATGGTTGATTACACATTTTACACTCTCCACTATATATATATATATATATATAATACGAACTAACGACATAATGATCTAACGACATAATGATGCATACTCTGTTTACTCGTTGTAGGTTTTTCAATTATCTATAGCGGCAATATGTAGTTTGGTGTGGCCATCAAGCCGCCTAGTAGTTCAAGTTGTAGATGATTCTACGGATCCGGCCGTAAGGGTAAGTAGCTTGTTCGAATTCTGTTTTTTTTTTAATTATATATTAATTAGATTTACAAAAAAATCAAACAATTTATATAGCATGTTAAAAAGAATCGGCCACTTAGGCAGTCAAATCAATTGAACGTTCTAAACGCATCAGTTAAAAACTTTTTCAACCGAGTTTTGGACCTACACCTCTAATTAATTGGTTAAAATGTCGGACTAATATATTTTCAAATTATTTATTAAATAATTACAAATATGGAGAAATATTTTGAATATATGAAAAAAATTTTGGATATAAGAAAAACACATTATTATTTTATATTTAACATCATATTTTATTTTACTTTAAAAATTAGAAAATATATTGAAACATACATAATTTCTTTAACTATCATATATATTTTATTAATTATAGAAATATAAAATAATATAAAAAAGTTTCCCAATAATTATCAGGAATGGCTCTTTTGAGTTCTAATTAATTTCGGATGACAAAAAAAAAAAAATAGTTAGGCGTCAGACCCTCTTCAAGCGCTTGATTAGTGCTTAATTTTTTTTGAACACTTTATTTTGTGTTTCTTATCTTTCATAGGAGAAACAAAGAAATAGTATAGGAGTAACACTTGTCTCACAAATTTTTCACCTAAGATGTTTATCTTTTTCCTATAATTGAATCCTCTTTTGATTTACAAGTCAAAGATATATGACACAAGATTTCGATACAAACGAGATTAGTATATCGATCCATCACATATTAGGATGCATACATTTTATGTATAGTATGATAAATGTGAAAGAGTAAGCAGGGCGGTGTGGACATAGAGATTGCAAAATGGCAAAGCCAAGGCATAAACATAAGGTGTGAAAGGAGAGATAATAGGAACGGCTATAAAGCTGGAGCTATGAAAGAAGCTCTTACGCATAGCTACGTCAAGCAATGCGATTTCGTAGCAGTCTTCGATGCCGATTTCCAACCAGAGCCCGATTACCTCATCCGCACCGTCCCCTTTCTTGTCCACAACCCTGACGTTGCTCTCGTTCAAGCCCGATGGATATTTGGTATGTTTACAATCATTTAATTTTATAATGTATTGTCAACTGGTTTGACATGAATATTTATTTTTCAGTGTGATAATGAATGGTGATTTTCTTGCAGTTAACGCGAACAAATGTTTGATGACGAGGATGCAAGAGATGTCTCTCAACTATCATTTCAAGGTGGAACAAGAATCAGGGTCGACTAGACATGCTTTCTTCGGATTTAATGGTATAATTAAATCTCCAAGCACAATCAAAATAACACCAGCTTTTAGAACAAAAAATTTAAGAACCATAACACTACTTACTAATTAATTGATTATATATCTATATATGAGTTGGCAGTCATCATTTCATCAACCTAAGGATGGTTTGTAGTCAAAAATATTAAGACGATGAACCTTAAGGATTGCCATCTTAAGCTAAGAGAAAGCATCGTGTGAACCTTAAATTAAAAGGGAAATGAGAAAATATAAAAATATATATTTCATAAAAAGATTAATATTAGTCCCTCTACTTATTTATTAAACTCGTTGAAAACACCTTGTGGGTGACTATAAGACTCATATTTTTGGGACCATGAAATAGAAGTGATATATTAATAATTATAGGAACCGCGGGTATATGGAGAATATCGGCAATGGAAGCAGCAGGAGGATGGAAATCAAGGACCACAGTAGAGGACATGGACTTGGCTGTTCGTGTTGGTCTTCACGGCTGGAAATTTGTCTACCTTAACGACCTCAAGGTAACACACGTTTTCCTTTATATATTAGAGAATTAGTTACTCAAAATCATAAGAATACTAAATACATTAATTAGTCTCCTTTTGTTATCACAAACAAAACAATAAATGGCTAATTTGGAGGTATGCAGGTGAGAAACGAGCTTCCAAGCAAATTCAAGGCCTACAGATTCCAGCAACATAGGTGGTCCTGTGGACCGGCCAATCTATTTAGAAAAATGACGATGGAGATCATTCGTAATAAGGTCCTTTTTGTCACTTTGCTTCATTCTGACCCCATGTGTTTAGTGACTGATGTCCTAATTTATTTTGTCTTTAGACGGATTGGGACCCGTGATAGTGATAAGCAGGGTGTCCTGTTTGAACTAGTTGAGGACCAGTGTTGAAACACACGTTTCAGTGATTGATTGGTTTAAGTCCCTCTCTTTGTCTCTCGTTGGGACCGGGGTAGTGTGATATGTACGGTCTTATATCAACCAGTTTGGCTAATTAATTAGGTTTTGTTCGGTTTCAAAATGGTTCGATTTTAATATTGTTTGCATTGAAGTAATTCGTTTTACATAAAGCTAATTAATTAACAAGGAATGTTTGTTTTGGAACAGAAAGTATCAATATGGAAGAAGTTCTATGTGATCTACAGCTTTTTCTTCGTAAGGAAAGTGGCAGTACACTTCTTGACATTCTTCTTCTACTGTATAATTGTGCCAACAAGTGTCTTCTTCCCTGAAATCTACATCCCATCTTGGTCTACCATTTACATTCCCTCTTTGATCACTATCTTCCACACCATGGCAACTCCAAGGTAGTCTAACTATTAATTAATCTAATTACTCATCAAGATTTTTCAGTTTTCTGATTTCAATTTAATGCATTCGACTAGATCCTTCTACCTCGTGATATTTTGGATCTTGTTCGAGAATGTAATGGCTATGCATCGAACCAAAGGAACGTGCATTGGCCTACTTGAAGGAGGAAGAGTGAACGAATGGGTTGTGACCGAAAAATTAGGAGATGCTTTAAAGAATAAGCTACTCTCGCGGGTCGTTCAAAGGAAATCTTGTTATGAGAGGTGAGAAATTGATGAAGAAGTTATACATATATTTCCGCTTATGTTATAGGTGATGTTTTCTAACGAATACACATAGTTTTAACAAGATCAAAATTTGTTTTATTCTATTGCAGAGTGAATTCAAAGGAAGTGATGGTGGGGGTGTACATATTAGGATGTGCACTCTATGGCCTGATCTATGGCCACACATGGTTACATTTCTATCTTTTTCTTCAGGCCACGGCCTTTTTCGTCTCCGGTTTTGGTTTTGTTGGAACCTAATAAGAACCTTCCCGGCCCATTATTTTTAGTCACCAAATAAATTGTCCATGTTTTAGTTCTTATTTACAGTTTTACCATTGTTCGGTTTGGACCCCATATCATGTTCACATGTTGTATAAGTATAACGAATAAGATTTTTTTGTTTGTTTGAATGTATACGTCACTCTGTAATTTCCCCATTGTTATTTATCATCCTTTATTTGAAAGTCGACAAAATAATTCAACTACGTACTCTAATAATTCAACAATGAGTATTAGTAAATTTCATCTAAGGACTAAACCTATCAGACGAATTTTACCTAAAGAAAAACAAAAGACAATGTATCAACTAAATTCTTTTTCAAATGATTAAGATAGACAAAATTTATACCATCAATATAACTATAATTTCTATCTCATATCTTCATATCTCTTTTCAAATCAAGCGATTGTGTTAACGAGTAGCGGAGTAGTGGGTATATACGCCCAACGACCCATTCAATTTATAATCCCTCAATTTTGTTTGCTTTCGGTCTACGTTTAGCCAATTTGATGACATGTTTTTGGTAAAAAATGCTTACTATCCAAATACTACCTCCCTAGTGGAGTTTAAGTACTAATAAGATGCAATGTTCTGAGTTCTGATCAACAAAACAGATATGACAGAGGAGAAATTGAATATTTTACAGAAAGAGTATGTATCAGAATTCTCAACGTCCATTAAATTTTGAATTTTGGGTGTTCAACAACCAGTAAGTCACTAATTTGTTTCGAGCATGCACCTACTAGCCAGTTTTGGTTAAACATTTCCAAATAATTTATATCTTAAAATGGAGAATTTAAAACTAAGGAAATAAATAATTTTTTTAAAAAAGATTAATTCATATTGGCCACACTACTTGACCTTTTAAAGTCTTTCCAGTCTCCCAGAAACATCTGTCTTTCATAATTCCATTACTGCATTACATTAAGTGATTACATTACATGTGTAAAACCCCAAAAAACCATGAAAATTGAAATTCCCCACAAAACCGAATTCTGAAAATTCTCTTGGTTTGTTTGTATAAAGAAGAAATTAAGCATGGATTGTCAGAGAACTATAGTGTTCTCTTGTTGGGTTCTGTTTCTTTTAATCATCGAAACGACAGCGTATAACGAGAAACAGCTGTTCCAGCCGTTTGAAACGGAAAACGCAAACGCGTTGACCGCGGTTATGGAGCGAGGATTAAAGACGCAGCGGCCGGAGCACAGGAACGCTTATGCGACGATGATGTACATGGGAACACCAAGAGACTACGAGTTCTACGTTGCCACACGTGTCTTGATCAGATCGCTTAAGGGTCTTCACGTGGACGCTGATATCGTCGTCATCGCCTCTCTCGACGTTCCGATCAACTGGATTCACGCTTTGTAAGTGTGGTCTCCTCATCTTCTTTTTCTTTTCTTTTTCATCGCCAAAACGGTACCGTTTAATTGTTAGAAAAATCTCTAGTCTTTTTTTTTTTCTTCTTTGAATCAAGGAAAAAACATTATTTTCTAAAATAGTTTTCTAACCTCATTTGGATTATACAAATTTTTCATAATATATTTTTAAAAAATTTAGAGGAAAAATAGATGAGAACATGGAAGAGCAGTAATGCGGGAAAGAGCATGAAAATAATATTTAAAATTTTCAAAAAGTGATTATTTGGCTCTAATATATATATTATTATTAAAATTGAAAATGTCCAGAACAAGACAGTCTTAATTAGTCGCAGACGTGTTTTCCACGACCTGTTTTGGATTGCTTGTCTTTTTTTCTTCTATTGTTGATTAAAATTTCTCAGCCATAAATAAAAATCATAATAGGATTTTTCTTTCAAACATAGAAGCTTACTTTTAAAATGATTTATTTCTTTGTTTGTCGGAATTACTTCATATTCATATCACCTTTTCATTTTCATTTTCATTTTCATATTCAAACTTACATGAGTTAGGTGGAAATTTGATGTTTCTCTTTTCTTTAGTGGAAGGTGAGTATTTAAGAGATTAGATGTGTAAATGTATATATTAGTGGGATTGCTTGTTGATTTTATTTTAAACTTTAAAGAGATAAGAAAATATAACATTGTTAAAAAGAGTAAATTGGCTGTCAGATACCTTATTATAGTAACTAAAAGTCTCAGACCTTTTAAAACTTTTTTTTTGTTGATTTCCCTTTTTTGGAACTGAAAAAAATATAGAATATTCAGGAACTATAAATCAAAGTTATGCATAATGTTTTTTTTTTCTTGCTGCAGTTGTTTAGAAGAAACTATTTATTAATATAATCTTTATTTTTATTTGGTAAATTTGATTAATATAATTCACTAATTGGGTATCTAGGGAAGAAGAGGACGGAGCTAAAGTAGTGAGAGTAGAGAATCTTGAGAATCCGTACAAGAAACAAACCAACTTCGACAACAGATTCAAGCTTAGTCTAAACAAGCTCTACGCTTGGTCTCTCTCTGATTATGACCGTGTCGTAATGCTCGACGTCGACAATCTCTTCCTCAAAAACACGGACGAGCTCTTCCAGTGTGGCCAATTCTGTGCTGTCTTCATTAACCCTTGCATCTTCCACACTGGTCTCTTTGTGTTGCAGCCATCAATGGAGGTCTTTAGAGACATGATTCATGAGCTTGAAGTAAAGAGAGATAACTCTGATGGAGCTGATCAAGGCTTTCTTGTCAGCTACTTCTCTGATTTACTCAATCAGCCTCTCTTTCGTCCTCCTTCCGATAACCTTACCACCGCACTTACTGGACATTTTAGGCTTCCTTTGGGATATCAAATGGACGCATCTTATTACTGTAAGTAACCACCACTCTCTCCATTTCATGAACCCCAAAAGTAATAACATTTTGGTAATCTATTTATGTGTGCATGTCGCTCTCTTTATGTCTTTATTAGACCTAAAACTCAGATGGAACGTACCGTGTGGACCAAACAGTGTGATTACGTTCCCAGGAGCAGTTTGGTTGAAGCCATGGTACTGGTGGTCATGGCCTGTTCTTCCTTTAGGTCTCTCATGGCACCACCAACGCCGCTACACCATAAGGTTCGTTTTATTTAATTACTAAACCGAAACCAAGACTAATACTCGTAACCTCCAACTAGAATTCCATCTGATACACGTTCAAATTTACCATTCTAGGAGTATATATAGCAATTACATGTTTTTAGGATTAGTCTAGGTTTCAACCTCTCATTGTCTCGTATAAAAAATTTAACAGTCAGGACTAATCCTCTGCTGTCATTGTAGTTATTCCACAGAGATGCCTTGGGTTATAATCCAAGCAGTGTTCTATCTAGGGATCATACTAGTCACACGCCTAGCGCGTCCCAACATGACCAAGCTATGGTATCGACGTTCTGATAAGAATCTAAGCGTGATCCAGACAACTTTCAAGGTTGTTGCACTCCTCTTGATCCTCTCAGCCTACATTATACCATTCTTCATCATCCCACAGACGATCCACCCGCTCATCGGTTGGTCTCTCTACTTAACCGGCTCCTTTGTTCTCTCTACCATACCCATCAATGCCTTCTTGCTTCCAATGCTCCCCGTCATAACACCGTTGATTGGCATTTTCGGAACGCTCCTAGTGATGGCTTTTCCTTCTTATCCTGATGGCGTTGTCAGAGCATTGTCCGTTTTCGGGTATGCATTTTGTTGTGCACCGTTTCTATGGGTCTCCTTTGTGAAGATCACATCACATCTTCAGGTTATGATTGACAAAGAGGTTTTGTTTCCGCGGTTGGGTGAATCAGGAGTCACTTCTTGTCTCAGCAAATTGTACTGATTAAGACGGCAAGATTTTGATCATCTTGATGGATTGCTTATGTACATAATAAAGGTTAGAGAGGATTAACAAAGATAACAGTAACTTTATTTTCTTTGATTTTAACTGAGAGAAATGCATAAATGGAACTACTGTATAAGTTTCAAAAAAACTGAGTTTCTAACTAATGAGCACATCAAAATGGGCCAGATCAAATGAGGTTCATAATGGCCCACTAAGTTCTTCAGAGTTAAGCCTATTCAGATTCATCAGACACTATGTCGTTTTACAGGGAGGTCTACTCGAGTGCCACTGCACTGTTTTACAGTGGGCCCTGATGAGTTAATATGATATTTTTGTCAAAACTGTTAAGGATATAGCAGAATCATGGCCTTCATTACCTCAATATCTCCTTTCCTTCTTTACATAACATTCTATACTTGCTCTAACCTAGAACCTTTCTCTGTTTTTGTATATATATGATCGTGTAACCACTTTATAAGATATATGAAATACATATTATTTACATGGTATCAGAGCCTAAATAAAATTTTTTTTCTCTCGCAGCCGCCTCTCTCTCTCTCTCTCTAGATCTCTGCTCCTCATATTCTCTTCTCTCTACTCAGTTTCAATTCTCACCATGGCTGCCCTAGCTGAAACTGTTAACACCACTCAATCTCTCCTCAACGTCAACATGATGAACGTGACGAAACTCACCTCCAACAACTACATAACATGGAGCCTCCAAGTTCATTCACTCCTTGATGGTTACGACCTTGCGGGGTACCTCGATGGATCCACTGTCCCACCAGATCCGACCGTCACTGTCAACAACCAATCCACACTCAATCCTGCCTACACAAAATGGAGACATCAAGATAAGTTAATTTACAGTGGCCTCATTGGAACCCTCTCACCATCAATTCAGTCCTTAGTCTCAAAGACCAGATCTGCTGCAGAAATGTGGAAACATATCACTGCGACGTACGCCAAGCCAAGTTGGGGTCACACCCAGCAATTGCGCATTCAACTGAAGAATCAAACCAAAGGTGATAAAACGATTGACGAGTATATGCAAGGATTAACGACACGCTTTGACCAGCTTGCTCTCCTTGGAAAGCCACTAGAGCATGAAGAGCAGATCGAATTCATTCTCCAAGGTCTCCCGGAAGAATACAAATCCGTCGTTGATCAAGTTGAGGGACGTGAAACTCCACCATCTATCACTGAAGTTCATGAAAAACTCATCAACAAAGAAGCAAAGCTAATGGCCACATCTCTCTCCACAGCAAGCGTGGTCCCCATCTCTGCTAATACTGCTACCACACGTCAACGCCCTTTCAACGGCAAACAACAGTCTCGCAATCACCAATCCTGGAACAATAACAATCACCAACAGTACCAATCCACAAAACAGGATGGTCGTGTAATAAAGGG